AGAGGACAGGGAGCCCAGAGACTTGCAGGAAAGTGCCTATTTCTCTCAGACCAGCAGGACCTCCAGGAGAGAGAGCATCACCTCCCAGACTCGCCTCAGGGACAACCAAGACTCGGTATGTTTGCTTTCCTGAGTTGATTAACATGCATCATCGTTTTCAAAGATTGTTTTTCTGCTTCTTCTGCACTTCTAGATTGATATATTTTCATTGTATTTTTTTAGGAAACTGGTAGCCAGGAGTCTGATTCCAGTGATGGTGTCAACCGTTCCCCTGTGAAGGATAAAAATACTTGTACTTTGATCAAAGCAAAGGTAAAGAATACTATACTTCACATACTCTAAATAAGAAAGATGCAAAGTTGAAATTAATTAGGATTAAGTTAACCTTCAAAGCTAAAATGACCTCAATGCAAGAGTGCTGCAAAGAAATCAAGTCTCAATCTTAAACACCAGAAGAGATCAATAATATTATTTTTAAAGGATAAATCCGGACTGATCACAAATGATTAATCACTTTTGTGTGTGGCTTGGCTTGTCTTGTCTTGGGTTTTATATGATGCTTAAAGAAAACCTGTTCTAATGGTTAAACTCTCTTAATTTTGTCATTTAGAGTGCAACTACAAGAATAACTGCAGGCAATGTTCTACGGTTTTTGTAGCCCTAGCCCTACACTGGCCTCAAAAGCATGCTGATTTAAATACCATTTTACAGCTTTTCTGGCCTCGATGAAAATTTGCCTACAGAAGATAGTTAATTCAAAGAGCTTTGAAAAACTGTTTTGATTGTTTGAGAGTCATATTGTTTGGTTTGAGGAATATTTTGAATGTGATGACTGGAGGGCTTGGGTTTAAACCCCAGCTAGGGTTAGGATTAGCATTCCCACACTCCGTAAACATTTTTTACTCTCAGTGCTGGACTTCTGGGTCCAAGTCAGCTTTAGGATGAGTGATAATCTGCGCCTACCTGTACTTTGATTTTTCGGAGACTTGTGGCTGCCTGTATTGTATACTGCCCCACAAAGTGAAAAGTTTAAAGGCCCTTGGTGAGATGTGAGCCGGGCTCGCTGCCCTTGCTGGGGCCACTGCGCAGACGCTGTGCCTGTCCTGCCGCAGGTGTCCGGGCTGTCCCGAGCCAGCGCTGGGGGCCGGGGGGCCGCCGGGAAGCTCCGGGCCCGAGCTCCTGCCAGGGCCAGCGGGCTCAGGAAGAGAGGCAGCACCAACGACGAGAACAGGCCGGGCCTGCAGGCCACCATCAGCGACATGTGGAAGAACTTCGGCTTCAGAGCGTGAGTATCCGGTCCCCTGAAATCTCTTCAGAAGCGTTTGGATTTTGATCTCCTTCGTGATGTCTTGCTGCTACTGCGCTGAATTTGAAGATGGTTTCCCTTCCCTTTTGTATCTTCCAAAGGGTCTACGTCTTAGGAATCATTTGAAGAGATTGTGACATATACTGTACTTGCATGAACCTTATCAGTGTAGTTTCAAACTTTTTTTTTATTCAGGTACAACTGAAGTATATTGTAATATTTAATTTAACAAAGTTGTTGGGAAAAGTAGTTGAAGAAAAAATGCTTTTTTTCTGCGTGGATCACTATATCTGTATTTATTCATTTCTAAAGACATTTCCTTTCAATTTTATTATAAAGAGTAATCATTTATACAATTTGTATATTTAACGTAAGTTTCCCTGACATAGAAAATGAATGCATGTTACTGATGCAGGACTCTGTTCTAAAGATGTTACTATTCATGAGGTTATTTGTCTAACAAAATCATTCTGGAAAGCTGAAGTCCAATTATTATTTTTTATTTTTCCACTAACCCCTAATTATTTGGGTCTATGAGAATTAGACTTGTAAGTCAAACTAATAAAACACCTATTTGTAATTATATAGTGATCGTTCTTTTAAAATTGTAAAAAGGCAAGTTAAACTTACAGAGGCAGTACCCATTCTGCCCTGTAGAGGGTACTATAAAATAAGATCCCATGAACGTTTTAGTAATTTGAGCTCTACCAGTTCCATTTAAGAGCACGAGTGAATACATGAGTCATATTCAACAGTTTGGTCTTGCATGGGTAAACAGCTGATTATTAGAATAAATGGCTGGATGGATGTTTTTAAAATGGTTTATCCATTTTAGTAAGGGAGCTGGAGTATATCCTGGCAAGCCATGGGTGCGAGGTGGGAAATGCCCTGGATATCCGTCCATCTTAGGGCAGACTGGCAAAAACAGTCACGCACATAACAGGGCCAGTTGTCCCAAAAGCCAATTAACTGTGGGAGGAAACCCATGCAAACGCAGGGAAAACATGCAAACTCCACGCAGACAGCTCCCTGGAAGCCGGAATTGAACCCGGGACCCCAGTGCTGTGAGGCAGCAATGCTTACCACTGTGCCTCTGTGCCACCCTTCTCTCACGATGGTGTAATCTGTTATGAGTATAAATACTTATACAAATCCAGGTACTTTTTTTCTCAGCCTTCAAAGGAGAGCTAAGTCCCAAGTAAAAGCAGGTGTCTGAGGACTGGTGGCGTACGTGAACAGACCTGCGTGCAGCCCGGGGGGCGTGGGCTTTCTCTCGCCCCGGAGCTGTCGGGGTGCAGGGGAGGGGTGGGCTCTGGAGTGACGGGCTTCCTTCACTGTCTGTCTGCAGAGAGAAGGACCGCAGGCGTCCCTGCAGGAAAGGGGAGCCCATGTCTCCGGTGAAGGACAACGTTCAGTCCCCGGCGCCAGAATCGGGCCAGGACATCTACGGTACCCCTGCACTGCCGTCTGTTTAGAGGTCCGGTATTGCTCACATTTCACTCCAGACGTCTCAAGCTCAATTCCCTGGCCCAGGGTCTTCTGGTTCGTCTTTCAGTACGAGATCGATTAACCAACATGCTTATTTTTTTAAGGTCTTTTACCGCTGATCATTCACTTCATTTAAAGAAAGTGGCTGGGCTCTGTTGTGTTTTACAGAGGATCTTTAAATCAGAGTTTTAATTAAATAATTGGACTTTGTTACGGGGAGCTGGGGTGAACCACCAGACACAAGGTCTTCAAGGAATTTGGGTGGAAACCCATGATGTGTGTGCAGTGCCTTATATAAATAACTAAAAGTGTTTTTACAGAGGATATTCTGTAAGAGCTTTTATAGTATAAGCAAACTGGCGTGTGTATATATTATGTATATTATATATATACTTGGTGTACTTGATTCATTTGCTGAGAAATGATCAGTTTATCCATTAATTTTGTCTGAATAAATGCCTTTTCATAAGCGTTTGTTTCTGCATCTTTTGTTTTTGCCATCGCTCAGCCTGTTCGTCTTGTCACTTTCCACACAGGGGTAAGTAGCAGTGAATCATGCTAATCGTGGCTGTTGCCATCATAAATAACTTGCCATTCAGGTGTGTAACGAATCGTTTGGGGTGTTTATTGTGAAAGCATTGTTTTCGGATACCGTGATGTCCGTCAATGGCTGGGGTGTTCTGAGTCGTGCCGGAGGAGTGCTCTGGGCCTTGCCCTCCCTCTCTCTGACTGCTTCTGCCTTCCTAGCTGCAGGCTTAGGCGGAGGCTGAGCCTAGCAGCACTGTACCCTTCTGGTAGCTGTTGTATCCAAAGCAGTATTGTACCCGTCTGGTAACTTGTATCCACAGCACGGTCTCGCC